ACGGAACCGTCCGTCCGTTTGTCAGAAGACTGTATCTCGTGAACCGTAATAGGTAAAGAGTTGATTTTTTTATAGAGTATATATTTCTACTGATGGAACAACAAATAATAAAAATACATAAAAATACAAGAAACATTTTTAAACGTTCGTAATCGATCATCAAAGTTAATATACTAGACATGTACAACGTACATAGAGTAAGAGTCATATTAATAAAAATTAAAAAATAATAATGTTTCTGTGTGCTTTTAAAGACGTTTCACGTCAAAAATCTGTACGCAAATATAAAAAAAAATCTGTAATGCATTATTAAACAAACATCTAGCTTATTAGTGCGTATGACATGCTTATTTTGATAACGTCCGATATCAGTTCCACCTACAAAACGATTCATAAATTTCAATTTACGATCATAGCTAATCGATTATGATATATTATATGTAATTACCATAGCGTAAATAATATTTTTGAATATTTGCTACTTGTATAATAACAAATTTTTAAATAATATATTTTACCTAATGAAAAATCTAAACACGATTTCAAGTTTTGAATAAAGCCTAAATTTTTAAATATTCGCAATACCCCTCGTATCTCTGTTCTCCTTAAAACCACTTACGAAAAGACCATTTTCTAATACTAGAATTAATTCGAAAGTTAAAATAAAACAACAAATGGTTACCAAGTTTCATTTAAACTTCACTAATAGAAAGTTGTTTTGTTGTCTTCGCACTAACAAAGCGCTAACTGCGCGGTTAGGTCTAACCGGCAACTATCTAAGCCTGATACGAAGTACCTTTTAAACGAACTATGGAGCCCGGAGGGTCATGATATCAGCCAGCTATGTATGTTTGTATGTATGTATGATTAATTATCCATTCTCACGTCTCATAATTTTATATATAATATTTTTAGAATGCGATTTTATCTGTAGCCGAGGTAGTCTTTAAACGTATATCTTGATTATTTACATTCTGAAACACTAAAACACACGCGTGTGTTCCAACTTTAAAAATTCAGATCATGCATCCTCAAGTTCTAGATACAAATTTTTTTACAGGTAAATAAAAAAAAAATAACCTTTCTTAGATTTATGTGAATACTAGCGACTCATCCTCGCTTCGCTCTGGTTGGTCCCTAGGTACGTTTTAACGGTTAGTATGGAATAGACAGAATATATATTATATATACTGCCCCGCGCCCTAGAGTAGTCGCATAATGGTATAAGGCCGATAGCCTTTTCAATAATAGGGCTATCTAATGCAAAAAGAAATTTTCGAATTGGATTAGTAGTTCCTGAGATTAGCGTCTTCAAACAAACAAACATTGCCTCTTTATTATATTATTATATAAGTATAGATTTGATTTGTATGTGTATGTGTGTGCGTGTATGTATATGTGTCTAGACTAACTCATAAACGCTTATTTGACATTAGTAATAAAATAACAAAAGGTGGCGCTGATTGCTTGCCAAAAGCAAATGTTAAGAAAAGTTGATATTCCTCTATATAATAGCAAGGCAAGTTGAGACGCAAGCTAAACACGGCTAAGTCACTAAAATCAAGTAGTAGTACTATACTAGTTGTAAAAAACTTGTACACAAATAATAAGCATATTTTCCAATGTGGCTTAATCATCGATATTGATAGCCAACAAGAAATGAATTTTTAAAACAGTAATAAAATAAAATGGCTCGAGAGAGTAACAATATTAAGTTAGAACAAACAGCAATACTAATTTAAAGTTTAATTAAATACACTCAGTTAACTACATTTGAGCAAAACACAATGCACTAACGATACTGTGGTTTGGCAAACGTAACTATTGAATTGCAAAAAATTTGCAACTTTAACAAGTATCACAATCTTGCTTTGCTCGGACCCTTTAACCATCTTCGTTTTACGTGTCGGCTATTTAACTACGTCTAACTTGGTATTACTTCTATGTAGATATATTTTTTTAAATATACATTATTCTTTGAATTTGTCTTCCACCGTCATTGGAACTCATCAAAAAAAAAACATATAAGTATAAGTACTTGTTTATATAAGTACTTGTCTATACATATAATAAAATTGCAAATAAGCCGAATCTGTACATATTTTTTGGAAAATGTTATTGAAATAAACATTATTTTTAACGATACAGAGGCCGAATCCATAGTTTTTAGAATTTTTGTCTGTCTGTCTGTCTGTGACCGCATCACAGAAAAATCACTGGACGGATTTTGATGAAATATGGTATGGTGATAGCTGGTTATCCGGGTCAATATATAGGATACTTTTTACCGCGGAAAAATATCTCATTTCTGAGAAAAAATACAAAAACTGTAAAGAGTATACTAATGTACTTCAGAATTTGGTTTTTAGTCATCTGAACGTGGGCGGCTCCCGCGGGCAATGCTAGTTTATATTATAAATGCGATAGTGTATTAGTTGGTTTATCCTTTTTTCATGTTACGGCTGGATGTGACTAGATGGAGGTACTTTATTCATCGGATACGGATATAGGATACTTTTTATTTAGTTTAGTCGAATTCGCTAGTTTGCTAGAGTTTAAGTATCATATACTACTATTATTAAAAAGTAACTCTGTCTGTATGTTCCCTTTTTATGCTTAAACCTTTGAACAGATTTCGCTAAAATTTGGTAAGAACATAAATGGATCATGAGGATCCATCATCATCCTAGGCTACCGTTTCCAAATACATATACGTATATATATGTATATATGTATACCCCCTGTATACATACAGGTGGTATGCATAAATGCATTTCCCAATATTAAAAAAGCTACCTTTTCCATGTTCCGCTTAGCATCAGAGTGAAACCGAAGGCAAAACCTAATATTTAATATAATATGTTGTTTACATGAAAAAAATGTGAGTTATATGTGTATTCAAACAAATATCTTTAATATCTAAATATTTGTGTATTTGAACGTTTCATAACAATAATAAGGTTAAAATACGTACAAACATGGATTTTGCTAAATTAAGAGAATTTAGCAAAATATTAATATCTATATTCATATTTGACAAACAAGAACAAAAGTTTTATTAACCTGTCCAGTATCAATTGCCAGACGCTTCACATGTAATTAAATCGCTGATCAGAAAAACCAATCTTATTTTCTAGGCTGTAGAGTTTTATTTTCGGCAAACTCTTAATTCCAGTTTAAAAAAGAAGAAAATGGGCAAAGAACGTTTTGGAGCGCAATTTCGTAGAGCTCTTCATTTTATGCTGTTTTATGCGAAGTTCATCACGACTGTAATTAACACTCAGGTGCTGAAGGCGAGGTCTGAGGGACCCTTTGATCTCACATTCATTTTTAACTTAAAATATGTATTAAACTTATGTAAAAAGCTAAATTTTGTTTTAAAATCTATTATAATTAAATACTGCCGTGTAATTATTATATGTATAACGTTTTTGAAAGAGTTGAGGAAACGTGGAAATGCGTATTTCTGGAATGTAAGCTCAAAGCTTCGTAAAGAAATAAAACGTACAACGGAATTCTAAAAATATTTCATGCGATGAAAATGTTTCGCTGTTATGAAACTTTATAAAAACGTTAATACGCGTATTTTTTCAAGCGTTAGACATTACGTGTCGTATACAAAATATTTAATTATTAAAACATAACTTTTTAGCTCTAAAAATATATTTTTTATGGCGATTTATATATTATACTGTAAAAAACTACATTGGCTTTATATACAAAATATTGACATTTCTTTTCTATCAGTCTAACCTGATTACTATTCAAATAAATAAATATCTGGGGACACTAACACACAGCACCATAGAGTTCCATGGTAGGCTACGAGGCTTGTGTTATGAATACCAGATAGTTGATATACAAAATATATATAACTTTAAATACATACATTTCGTAAATATAAACGCCAATGACTGGAGTACGAACATTCGTGCTCATCACACAAATGATTCCCCCTAGCGGGACTCGAACCCGCGACCGCTGGCACAGCAAGTAGGGCCACTTCAAACTGAGCCAAGCGTGTCGTCCAATATTTGCAATGAATTTAGGAAACCAAGAAGCATAGAGCTTAACGCTTTCATCAAATAATCTCGAACGGTGGCGTTGACAATGAAAAGACACGATAATATAATCATACCTTGAATTTCCTCATTAGATCGAGAGGATTTGTTTGAAAGCTTTAATTGGACAACAATGAAATAAACGCTTATTTATTACATTCATTGTGTAGCAGTAACGGGTTAAAATAGATATTTTCTTAGGTAAACTCTGTTTATTTTAATTGAACAAAAATAAGAATAAAGTCGCATATCGTCTATTGCGTATAATTAATATATTTATTGACACGTAACATTATTTTGTTGGCAAAGATAAGTGGTACTTTAATAACTTTCACCTAACTAGAGGCTTAAAAAAAATTCAAAGTATAGTATGTATTCAGCCCTTTGTAACGTCCCACTGCTGGGCACAGGCCACAGTTCACCACGTTGGCCAAGTGCGGGTTGGTGGCCTTCACATGTCTTTCGAAAACTTGCTAGATTCTCTCAGATATGCAGGTTTTCTCACGATGTTTTCTTTCAACGTAAGACTATTATAGTATATGAAAAAATGCTGTAACTTATTATACATTTCGTTTTAAACAATGCACAAGTAAAGGGCACGTAAGTTTTATAAATATTTGATTTTCAGAGATTCTCTTCAAACCAATATTCCAACAAAAGTAATGTAAATTAGTTTCTGTTACTAATAGTCATAACAATTGATTTAATTTGCAATTTTTTGGTCCAAATCAATTTGATATTAGACCTAATAATTTGATGTATTAATTTTCCTAAGATGACGTAATTTCCAAGGCGTTGCAATTTCACAAAACTTAACTATGGTTAACATTCATTAAAATATTAATACGTAAATAATATAATCTGTTTATGTTACCTCGACAATGGTATATAAGCATTTCTTTTTTAAATCACCGATCACTTTTGACAACAGCGTTCACCATGAAGGGTATTGTAAGTATTATTTAATATTTATTTATAATTATAGTAATATCATGTTTGCATCATCAATAGTTCTTAGGTCTTATAGGGTATATATTATGTGGGTCACGGTATATAGACGAGGGATAACCCTCAAAAACCAATATCTAAGGTAATTATAAATAATATAATTATAGGTAATATAGAATATTATTTAACTTATAATTCCCACACACGTATACGTGTATTTTAAACGTTCCTTTTTAGTTTGTAATATACCTATAACCTAAATGTGATTTGAATCCAATCGTAAATAAAATAACAAGTAATGAAATGCGAACCATACTCTCATTAGGAGTTTAACCATTACTCAATAAAATAGACACCAAGTGAAATAACTCTCACCTGCACTGGCGAACACGTCCAAAATTATAAAGATTGTGTTTTTTCTATTTAGCTAATCTTAAAAATTATTTATATGTTATTTCAGACATTCTGCGTCTTACTTTGCTCCGTTAGTCTCAATGCTATGCCATCAGAATTAGACAATCAATTACGTATAATTGAAGGGTTAAGAAGAAGAGGAGGAGCTGCTAAGCTTGGGGAAGAGATTTCTGGTGGTATAGCTGGAAGTATTAGCACATCGATTGCTGCCCTTGCTGGACTAGGCCTGAGCGTTCTCGAAGCAATTGGAGGAGGGATAGTCGGTATTGGCGATAAAACGTCATTAGGATTAATCAATGGATTAACTGCTGTGCATAATTTAAGAAGAAGTGAACGACGTCTTGAAGCAAATGAAAATGTGCTTAATTCCCCCCAAGAGTTAGATATGTTAAGAAGAAGAGAAATAGCTGATCCACTTAGGCGACACATGGACGATGGTGTACCTACATTAGGGTTACCAGATGGGTTGAGAAGAAAAGGAGGAGCTGCTACGCTTGGGGAAGAGATTGCTGGTGGTATAGCTGGCAGTATTAGCACATCGATTGCCGCCCTTGCTGGACTAGGCCTGAGCGTTCTGGAAGCAATTGGAGGAGGGATAGTCGGTATTGGCGATAAAACGTCATTAGGATTAATCAATGGATTAACTGGTGTTCATAATTTAAGAAGAAGTTTAAGATCAGAATTTGACGGTATAGGAAATGAAGGTGTTGATGAACATTTTCATATACCTGTTAATTGGCTAGATGATCCATACGATTCGGAGTTGATAGATTCAGGAATTGGGATTTTAGGGGTTGGAGATATACACGCTAGAGATGTAGGCATTGCGGGTATAGGAAAGGTTAATGATATAACGATTAACTAATTATTTTGTTACTAAATAAATAAATAGAAATTATATTTTTTCCTAAAATTATAGCGAAAAATTATATTATGCATCTTAAGTATTGATAATTTTATTACTAAATATATGTATTACTGTAAATACAAAATATTTTAACTTTCCCTAATTCTGTAATTCGCAAATGATATATTAATACATGTATGTTCTATTTCATACTTTAAGTGCGTCATCTGCATCTTCCATTTACTCCTGTTTATTACACATATAATCCACAAACGGTGAGAACAGTTTTATCAGATATTCTGTAATACGAAGAAGATGAATTTAGTTCAACAGTAACGTTTATTTATTTGATATAATTGACATCCTGTGTATCAACTTTAATGATTGCTCATTGTTGCCTGGCGGATAATTAAATGATATTATATAAGATAAAATTTTGCTAATCTGGTAAAGGAGGAGGAGTGAGGAGTGGAACTTATTAATGCCAAAGCAGACAATACGATGCAGTCAGAGACATTACATATAATATAAGACACAAACTTCGTTACTTAATTAAATTTATTATAAAAACAATTTATTAAGTACTGATAATAATTGACACTAACTTTTTCTGAAATTATGACTTTTGAGTATTAGATAATTAAAATTATAATAATGCATGTTGCCTCCCCTTGCTCGTATGATCTCCAACAAATGATTTGGTAATCCATTCATGATGTCCTAAATCATTTGTTGCGATACGTTTTACCACTCTTAGATTTAAAAAAATATTTCCCAAAAGAATTACAAAAAAATCACTAATATGAGAAACTATATTTTTTTCTTAAATACTAAATTTTTAAGCGCACTTTATTACTTTCTAAACAAAAAAGATTATTATTTTATAAAACAAAAAAGTTATATGTAATCATTTCTAACATGATTACCGCTTGCCTTACGGTGAAGGAAAAACATCGTGAGGAAACCTGCATATCTGAGAGAACTTAGCAAGTTTTCGAAAGACATGTGATGTCCGTCAACCTGCACTTGGCCAGCGTGGTGGACTATGGCCTGATTCCCCTTGTATTGAAGGGAGGCACGTGCCCAGCAGTGGGACATTAAAACGGGCTGAATACATACATATACGTATAGACTTTTACCACTTTTCAATAATGGAATCTTCCAGCTGGTAGTGGCTCATAACGGTAAGAGCTGTGGCTCGACTCCCAACATATTTTTTAAATTCTTCCATACATGTATTATCGGATTCAGATCGGGACTTCGGTATGCTTTATTTCTAGAGAGTTATTACAAATTTTTTAAACACTCTAGTATTATAGGGAGTCGAAGTTGTAATAGTGAATAGTTCCAAGTGAAATGACAACGCTAAGCTCTCTCACATTGTTAACCTAAGAACCTTTAGCCATCTTTTTCTTCTTGCAAGGCTTTTTCCGTACTTAGGCAGCATTGCCCGTTGTACGTGAGCTTGTGCTACTTTGTGTGTTATTCTTTCCACCCCAGAGCGTCCCAGTAATCTAGCAGGTTGCCGGTATCCTGAAAGTTTTCCGGGAGCGATCTTTTGGGGCCGAGTTTTTCTTCGCGTAAGTGTTTCAGTTCACTGCATTCTAGCAGAATGTGAGCTGGTGTTTCATCATCTTGGCGACACGCTCTGCACAGGGCGCTGTCCCAAATGAAAGGGCTTAACTAGTAGAATATTATACACTATGATAAATTTCAAATCCAAGATGAGTTTTCAAATTTTAAATTTAATTTAGTTATTGAATGTTTTAAATTAATTTTGTAATTTCTGGGTAGGCACTGTCAGTAAGATCTATATATTATACCTTTTGAGACTTGTAAAACCGTACAAAAATACACACTTGGCAAGTCTCGACAAGTGTCCACAAACACAAACGTGTGAAAGGAGTGTTTGGGTTGGCTTGTTCTGGCAGATAAGAAAGAATAACAAAAGACGTCAACCTACTCTTAAAAAATACGAGAATTTACGATTCTCCGGTTCAGAGGTGTCCGTTCAATTTTATAATTGAATTATTACTAAGAAATTTATATTTAAATTTTAAAATAAGCTGGTCCTATAATATAAGTTGCATGCTCAGAAGGCTAGGACATTTTTGACATTGCCCTGAAAAAATGTACTGAAATATATCATTTAATAAAAAAAAACTAAAAGTAAAATAGAGTAGTTTTAAATAATGTTCCAGTAATGTTTAATATTTGTTTTCGTGTTTATTTCTCTTCAAATCAATATGTTAAAACAAATGTAATGTAAATTAGTTTCTGTTACTAATAGTCACAAAACGTGATTTAATTTATAATTTTCTGGTCCGAATCAATTTGCAAAAGAACAATTATTGTGATTTTCTTTCGACCAAATACATCGGTGTGTTCATTTTCCAAAGACGTTTTAATTTCTAAGGCGTTGCTATGGAATAATATATGTTCACAACACTTACAATATAATTAACATTAATTAAAATATTAATACTTAAATAATCTGTTTATTTTGATTCTCCACATTGGTATATAAGGATTGTTTTTTTATATTACCAATAACTTTTGACAACAACATTCACCATGAAAGGCATTGTAAGTACTCGTATTATTTAATTTTGAACCCAATTCAATCTTCTTGTTAATGACTTTAGAGCGTGCCGGTTGTGCAGAGATTACTTCGCCAATGTCACATAGAATAGAGAAGGCATGAAGGAGATTGGTCGGCAAGATAAGATCATTAATATTTAATTTTGATTAATATTGTAACATTATGATGGCAACATCAATAGTTCTTATGACTTAATCTTATCTTATCTAGGGCATGTATCTTCTGCCGTGACTCACACGGCATATAGGAAGTGTTACCCTCATAAACCAATACCTTATAGGGCCTAAGTTTATTGCAACCGGTAACTTCTAAGTAGTCAATTAAAATTATCATACAATATCATTAACGCCTGTTTTCTAAGAAATAAAAAGGCTAAAAATAATGAATATATTACTATCTTTTCGGATTTTTTTGCGTATTTATTTTGATGTTTGGTTCGGGACATTTCGAAACAATTATTTTAATATTTAAAAACTATTCTTTAGTAATCTGATTAAGAGTTGCTATTAATGTACATTTATAGACATATAGAAAAACATAAAAGAAATTAAAAACATCAATTAAAAAAAATGTTAAGCATTAAAAAGTCGAGAACCAAAAGTTAAATATTTGCGTTAATCTAAGAAAGTATTGTAAGGACTGTATTTTTTCTAATTGGCTAACCTTAAAAATTATATGTTATTTCAGATATTTTGCACCGTACTTTGCTCCGTTAGTCTCAATGCTTTGCCGTCAGGATTAGACGATCGATTACCTATAATCGAAGGGTTTAGAAGACAAGGAGGAGCTGCTAACCTTGGGGAAGAGATTGCTGGTGGTATAGCTGGAAGTCATAGCACATCGACTGGTTTACTTACTGGATTGGGCTTGAAAGTACTTGAAGCAATTGGGGGAGGGATACTCGGTGTTGGCGATAAAACGTCCGGGTTAACTACTGTGGGTGATTTAGAAAGAAAACAACCACCTCTTCTAATAAAAGAAAATGTACATAATTCACTCCAGAAGTCAAACGAGTCAAAAAGAGGAGAAATGAGTGATTCGCTTAGTCCGCATATGGATGGTGGTGTATCCCGATTAGACCCTGAACCTGATCACTCAGTAATTCATGGAAATGAAGGAGTGGTTCAGATAATTCACTCTGGTGTACCTTCTGGATTACAAATTTTAGATGGGTCAAGAAGAAAAGGAGAAGTTGATGAAATTGGGAAAGAAATTGGCGTTGGTGTACCTAAAAATAGTGGAATACCGCATGATTTAAATGCAGTTTTAGATAGGAAGTTGAACAATCTTTGGGTTGATAAACCTTTAAAAGTAGATAGAGACCTAGCAAATTTAGTTTTAGGTAACGAGAAATGAGTAAGGATATAACGCTTACCTCATTATTTTGTCATTAAATAAATAACTGATAATAGTATTCTTAGTATTTCTGCCGAAATTGTAGCCAGTAGACATATTATAACAAATGGTTATAATATGTCTAATTCTAGTACATAGTAGTACCTATAGAGACTTTGTTTGGCACAAGTAGGTGCTAGGTGATATAGATCCAAGAACTATTAAATTACGAAAGGCTCATAAATGAATATTTGTTCAAAGTTTAATATGAAATAAAAATATAAACTCAAAAAGATAACTTTTGGTTTTTTAGTACATTGTCTTATTTATTATAATTTTACTATTTCATATGATTTTTTTGTGGCGCACAATAAAGTGTATACAAATAAATGATAAAATGTTACCAAAGAGGTCATACCAACTTTTAATAAAGAGACTTCTATAGTATATTTTGACTACCTATTTGGAGATAAACTTTTAATAAATAAAACAAAGAATGGGTTTTAAGACTATTTTAATATAAATTAATAATATTACAAAAAGTCATTAAACAAAATGTATAAAAAGAAATTGGTACAAAATAAAAATAATATATTACTCTAATGTATAATGGCTATATTACTGTAAAATTTCATTAAAACCTGTTCAGTAGTTTTTGCGTGAAAGCGTTACAAACATACGTATATCCTTTTAAAAGTTTATAATATTGGTAGGATAGTTTCGATAATACTTATTAAGAGTATTGTCACAATCTGTCTGGATGATTAAAAACTATCTTTAATATTTTACACAAAAACATATCTATCCCACGGGAACCGTACATTTTTCCAGGATAAAAAGTAAACTAGGCAGAAGTAACCCAATGGTAACGGGATCGCTTGGCACATCGAGTGAAGCTGGTACAAATCCCGGGTCTCGCACCTCTGAAATTTTCATTCATTTCATTGAAGGAAACCTGCATGTCTTAGAGAACCTAGCAAGATATCGAAAGACATGTGATGTCCGCTAACCCGCACTTGGCCAGCGTGGTGGACTATGGCCTGACCCCCCTCGTATTGAACTCATTCATTCGAGGCCCGTGCCCAGCAGTGGGACGTCAAAAATGACGGACGATTAAATACATAACGGATAATCAACTATCATCGTACCACATCAAAATCTGTCCAGGGGATAGTCCGGGACAGACAGATAGACAGACAATAATTCTTTTGGATTCGGCCTCTGTATTGATAATAATGACTATTTTAATAAGATTTTCCAAAAAATATTTATTAATGTTTTCAAAAAAATATTGAATTTTATTTTTTTATGAAATTATATGAAAATTCCTGAAAGATAGATTCCTTTAAGAAGGTTTAAGTAGACTGTAATTAAAGGATTTCAACCTCTGGCCTCTGGCCGAGGACCGGACGTTATTAAAAGCATGCAAAATTAATAAGATGGAATTAACTGAAACATGAAGAAAAGGACGTTTTCGTCGAAATTCATTAACTTTGAATATTACAAAATTATGAAAGTTATTTAAATCTAGCGACTCACGTATGTTTTGACGATTACGTTACGTTGTAGACGCTAGGTCAACCACTATTGAAAGTAATCCGAAGTAGTGGTTCCCATACAAAATAACCAGTTCTGAACTTTTCGATTTACCAGCTGTTCTTATGGGTTTTTCCTAAATTTTTTTATATTTAAACTATCCCTGATATACCTACAACAAAATAAAAAAAAAGAATTATTCCAATCGATTCAGCAGTTTCTGAGTTTTAGCGAGACTAACAAACAGTAATTGATTTTTATACATATATATATATATATATATATATATAACTAGCAAATGTAGACGACACCACTCGCGTATGCAATCTATTATTATATAAAATCCATAACAACTAATGACATCTTTTTTAATTCAATCTGTAGTAATTATTCTAATTAACTTTTAATTTGTTTAAGGAGAAAGATGGAGCTATCTATGCGTACCCCATTAAGACGGGGGAATTTTGTTGGGTTTTAGTGGGTAGTACTGGCTTTTCTGGCCAGTGAGTCCCACATAATCACCTGTATATATGCAGGTGGTATGCGTAAATGCATTTCCCAATGCTAAAAAAACATGTACGTGTACATCAATAGCATCAGTATCGTCATAGCAATATGGTTCCGCTGAAGGTTTTAGTCAGTCTCAGTCCCCTGCCCGTTGACGGCCAGCATGGTGGCATGTTTTCCAAATCTCTTCAACAGTCTATGTGTGATTATGTAGCTATAAAGTTTCATACTTACAATATTAATAAGACATACATATATAATATACATATATATACCATTAATGAGAATATTTCTTGTTATTGTTCACCAAAGTAATCTCCGCGAAACGTTCATTTGATTAAACAATCTGCTCTTGCGTCCGCGACCATCTGTTCGCCAGAGCTATTTGAACGAACCAAAACTATTAAAAAAACAAATAACAAATATTTATGTTTTAAAATATCGTCTGTTCTAACGATGGCCCTCATTCAATACGTTATATTGATTGGTTTTGAGAAACTATCTATACATATGTGATAATCAAGAGTTGGTTTGCATTTGTTAGTCTAGTGATTACCATATAAGGTTGCCGTGCGGTCCTGGATTGGAGATGAGACCGAAATGGGACATGCTCATAGGAAAGAAAAGTTAAAGAAATAAAATTGTATTATTAATTATTTTATATTTTTTTAGATATCAATTATATGTTATATGAGAAAAAAGATAAAGAAATGAACCGCACTTAAAAAAAAGATTACATGAAAATTATAAAGTTCATCAAGTAGAAATGTAGCTCCTTGAAAACAATTCTACCGCCACCCATTGATTCATGCTTATTGGTTCCTTCTGTAAAGTCTCTGAGTAGCATCCGGAAACGTGAAGCCGTCGGTCCTACGCCTGATCTCTTACCGTTCGTATCTTTGTCGTCCCATTGAACGGTTTAGAGGTATTGAGTGTGCACTTAATGAGCACACTTGTGCAGTGGCTATCAGTGCGATTGGCCACCGTGGCCTAAATCGGTCAATACATATAAGACGAGTACGTATCTACATCTATATATTAAAACGTGAAGCAAAAACTTTGTACCCCTTTTTACGAAAATTGCGCGGACGGAGGAGTATGAAATTTCTCATACAGAAGACAGATACAGAGAGTGCAGATTGGCTAATATTTTTTTTTTAATTATGCATAAAAAATACATTAAATCAATAAATATATACTCTTTAGTTTATTGTTAAAGTCTGTGGTCAAATTGAGAATAGATTAATATTGTTTGTGTTTAATATTATTTGTCTATAGTCTAACTGAATGTCAAATATAATCATAATAAATTATATAGATAGGTAAGTGCTATCCATACATGTTTTCCTCAAATTTACAATAATGATTATAGTCGAACTTAGGCCACTCGGCGTACATTAGTAAGTATAATATATAAAAAATCGAACACCTCGAAATCGGTATTTCTGTCTGTTTGATGGCTTAGTCCTTGAAATTATGATTTTTTTGTGTTGTGAGGTACTTTCTATCCCGTTGTATGGTTAATTGGCAGAAGTTACTAAAACAAGCACAATTCCTAATAGTCAAGTTTAATCTTTATTTTGAGACTCAAAAGCACGTAAAAGCACAGAAATCGTGTAGGATTTTTTTATATATTTAGGCAAGGCACGGGCCTCCCTTCAATATGAGGGAGATCAGGCCATATTCCACCACGCTGGCCAAGTGCGGGTTGGCGGACTTCACATGTCTTTCGAAATCTTGCTAGGTACTCTAAGACATAGTTTCCTCACTTTGTTTTCTTTCACGTTTTGATTCGCACATGAAAATATCAGATGTGCGAGAGCCGGGATTTGAACCCGCTTCACTCGGTTTCCCAAGTTTCTTGTTAAGTTGTTGCCTTATTTTTTATGTTTCTTAATTTGTTATTTTTATTATAATAAAATATATTTAAGACGTAATATTAATACGCTGATGCTAAAACGAAATAAACGTCGATGAAAGAAAAGTATTGTGAAGTTCTTCCGGTCATCGATTCCATCAAAAAGCAATCGTCGAACAAAAACCTTTGCAATACATATTATTATTCAAATGTATTTAATACAAATAGTTTTTAATAATATTAAATGTGAAGGGATTGTCTATCATTTTAACCCCTATTTCTCCTGTAGTTTTCTTAAATGTCAAATAGACACGGACATTATTATTTTATAATTCAGTAAAAATACAGGATTAACAAGCACTTTTTTTAAAAAGACAGTGGCATGGATTTTGTTGCTATTTACAAATAACATCAGGACACCCCAGAGAGCCAGCAACAAAATATAAACTAAAAATCTGTAAAATTGGAGACGTATTACTACAAATGTCCCTGCTACATTAACATACACTTTAAAAAGACATACATCGATTTTGTTGCTTTTTACAAATAACATCAGTGAAAATACAGGGTGACATATTAACAATTTGCTAAATTAGGTCTTTTGATTCAGTGTGATATATATATATATATATATATATATATATAAATTAAACGAAAAAATATTTTATCAAACATACAAAAAGTCCCCTAAAAATCTATTTTTTTTTTCTGTTACCACGTGATCGAAAATGATCTGGATTGAATGAATACACAATGACATGATGCAAATGCATAGAGAAGTAAACTATCAAACAATATGTCTGTCAATGTACCTACCTTTTTGGTAATAGTAAATAATAATAAAAATAAACGCTATCTCAACTTTTGTATTATTGCTTAATTATTTCTAACACTTCACTGTGACGTCAATAACGCCATGTTGGGCAAAACTATTTTTTTGTTGTTTCGGCGAACTATTTGAATTGTAGTTTTTTAATTACTATTTTTTTGAATATATATTTATTAAAAGTAAACTACTTATTAGAATTAAGTATCAAAATTAGGCACTTTTTATGGGCTCAATAAACAAAACTATATAATTAGAGATGGTGATGATGAAATTATAACTTTTTGTTAGTTTGTCTCTTTCATAGCACATTATGAACAGAATGTAAAATATTACACCAGACATTAACTATTGTAAAGATGTTGTAGTTCATTTTATAACCTAGATCCATCTCTTCAAACCCTTCTATATTAAGGGGTGTTCATAACTAAAGGGGTAACAAAAATAAATGAGCAGGCAACACCATTGACAATAGCTAGTTAGTAAATAAAAGACGCAGCACTCAGCAGAATAAGTATTCGAGGGCTTCCGGTCATCGCGTATCAATCGACGCGACGTACAATACTCTCGAAATACATCGTCAATTTATTATTTCCAACGATTAAATTTGCATTGCAATAATACATTATATTGATCAAAATGTACAACTTGCTTGTTATAGTTAAGTTAATTATATTGTATTTGAGGTTAAATTGTTTTCATTTATTATTATTGCTCATTATTTTTGTTTATGGCGTACATGAAAAGCGTTTTTGAAGCGAGAGGATGAATTTTGGTAATGATGATGTCGTTGAATGATAATATCAATAATCTATACATATAATAAAATTCTAAGTGGAATCTGTACATCATGTATTTTTTGGAAATCGATACAGAGGCCAAATCTATAGTTTTTAGAATTTTTGTGTCTGTCTGTTACCGCACCAAAAACCTCTGGAGGGATTTTGATTAAATTTGGTTTGGTGATAGCTGGATATCCGGGTCAACATATAGGATACTTTTTACCGCGGGAAAATATCTCATTTTTGAGAAAAAATACAAAAACTGCAATGTAAGAGTATACTTATATGTAAAACCTAAGAATTTGGTTTTTGGTCATCTGAACGCGAGCGGAGCCGCGGGCAATGCTAGTTTATCTATAAATATGGACCAAATTGATCTAAAGAGATGAAATTTTGACAGCTATTCCTTTAAGTTTCTTATGATATATGTAGGTAGTAATATAATAAAGAATTTTTAAAGTTCAATCCCTAAATATATGATAGAAAGAGGATAATATTTTTCGGGTATTTGTTAAGTAATCATTTTTCAATAAAACAATCACGAGCACTTACAATGTAACAATAATTCATCTTCATTTAGGTTTATCTTATACCAAGAATAAATTCTGTTCCTAACAGTATTGCTATTAAAAAGTTATTATCGAAATTCTAAGATTTTCATTCCAAATCAGCTTTTAAGTTTTGAGACAGTTTAACTTATAAGAGTAGATTTTAATCAGAGATACTTTCTTTCATCATAAGGAAGTAGATCCATCCCCCACAGAGATGTCAATTTGTTTCCGCTAATGGGACCATTTGTCTGCGAGAATCAATTACAAACACAGTTCTGTCTTGGCTTGAGGAATTCAATTATCGATACCATCGATATTCATACTAAATGTATTCCCCACTCAATTAACTGTTATCTAGAGTAATAATTGTAATTTTCGAAATACTGAGTCAATTTTCTTGTGCTGAACATCGCCCATAAGCTGTTTATCAAATATTTAATAGTTTTTTTTTTCATTCATCCATTCAACTCTTTTTTAACGACCCACTGCTGGGAAGGGCCTAATGAGAACAAGATCAGGACATAGTCCACTTTTCCAGAGTTTTGCGAAATTCACAGGTCGTTTCAAAAAATTACTAGGAACTAACTTATGGAAACTCATTAGAAATAAAAAACAATCCTCATATGCCCATTAAGTTTGAGACCGTACCAAAGAATTAAGCATAATTATATTGGAAAAACAACATTTTAGCAGAAGCAGACAAATAAAAGTGCGTCATAGTCATATCATGTGAATTATGTACACCTTAAAATCTATGAATAATCGACGTAAATTAAAATAATTTTCTAAGAAACTCCTGAAATCCTTTACTTTCTACTGATATGAGATATCCAGTAATTCTAAAGATATTAATATTAAACTTAATTTACAGAAAAAGTAATGTACATTCTTTCTCAGTTTTCATGTATAATATTTTTCAAGCCTATATTCATCACGATCCCGTGGGAAACATTTGTTTAGTGGATATGGAAGCTGAACCACAAGTTGATTTGAGTATTAGACATTGAGTATTGACGTGAAATTATATTGTGAAAATGAAAAGTGAATATTGTATACTAGCGACTCACCCTCGCTTCGCTCGGGTTCGTCTCGACCATGATTCCCAATACAAACTTTCATCCCCATTTTCACCCCCTTAAGGGATGATTTCCGGGATAAAAAGTCCTTTGTCCTTCCCAGGATATCGAACTATCTTTTTACCAAATTTTATCTAAATCGGTTCAGTAGATCCAGAGCCCCCATACAACGTCACAAGCTCACAAACTTTACATCTTTATAATATTAGTATAGATACAATGATAATGTAACTGTGTTATTCTATTTTAGATATACTTATTATAGTAGATATACATAATATGTAATGTAAGATAAGCTGTTTACCTATGGATAAGTCTCAATTAGGGCCTTTTTTTCGGATAGACTGTAACCCGTATCGATGTTTAGATCACAAGTTATTTAAGTGCCAAATTTTATCGAGATATATTTAAATTTCGCAGTAAAAACATAATAAACACGCAAGTTCTGGAATTGTTGAAAAGTTAGTACTTACATACACTACAGAAAATATAGTGACTTTAAAGTTGTTTATTCATAGGTGGTTTTACGTATACTTTTTAAAATATCATAAAGCTTGTTGTTTTCTTTTACTATTCATAATATTGCCATGTGACCAAAAACGAATTCTAAACATTTTTGTAATTATAACTCTTCATTATTCAACTAACCGATCTCCCAGTCATTTTAGGCCTTTTAATAACCTATAATAGTGTCATTTGTACTATCGTTCCCACAAAATTATTTACTAATCACATTTTCTCATAGACCATTAGATAATAATTAATTAATATTTAATCACTTTTTGGTGACAGGTGAGTATAAAAGATTTGTTTTTTCGGTTCGGAATATCATTCTACATCAAGTTCAACAACCACTAACATGAAGTGCATCGTAAGTACAATATCAAAAAATATAATATGTACTACCTTTTCTACGAGTACTATTTTCAAACTATACAAACTACCTTGTAACAATTCTTTTTTATGAATTCCGAATGTAAATTACTCCGTGAACAAAACATATAATTTTATTTAGTATCTACATTGTTTATTCCACAGGTCCTTACCGTACTGCTATGCGCTGTAGCGCTTGAAGCCACGCCCCATAGACTGGGTTTAGTTGGGGCCGAAATTGGTAGCGAAATCGGAGCAGGTATAGGTGACACAATTGGAACGGGCGTTGGCCTTGGTATTGATGGAGTTAGTGCTGTAGGAGACACTGCAATAGGAGCTGGTTTAGGTGCAGTTGGACTGGGTACAGGTGTTGCAAGAGGATTGGGAACAGGCTTGGCTAACGGTTTGGGAGTAGGATTAGGCTTGGGTGGTCAAATTTCGCGCGGTCAATCTGGATACGCTAATGGAGGAAAGTACGGTAACAACCGTGTCAGCTCCGGTGCAAGCGGTATTACTAACCAAGGATACCACAACGAAGGAGCTAGTAATTTCCACGACCGGGGACAACACAAGAACAAAGTCACTTCCGTAAGTGTATAATTTCATGCAATAGTAACCCAGTAGTGACGTGCTCGCTTGGGTAACCGAGTGAAGTGGGTTCAAATCGCGGGTCTCGCACCTCTGATAATTTCATGTACGGATAATTTCCAACTTGATTAGCACTTGTCTTACGATGAAGAAAAACATCTTGAGGAAACCTGTATGTCTGAGGTAACCTAATTTAAAGCTTTTTGAAAGACATGTGAAGTCCGCCAACCCACACTTGGCCAGCGTGGTGGACTATGGCTTGATACCCCTCATATTGGAGGGAGGCCTTTTTTTTTTTTAACGTTGGGAAATGCATTTACGCACGAAGTGTGGGACTCACCGGCGTAATAAAACCAGTACTACCCACTAAAACCCAACAAAACCTTCCCGCGTCTTAATGGGGCGTCGCAGGATCGCTTACGCATTCAACTACGACGCCCCGACGGCAGGTCTGCCGAAGCAGACCACCACAACCATGGGGTTGCTCCAAGGTCCACTCTGCTATCAGAGAAGTACCAGGAGCAACCCGCATGGTACACCGCCCACCAAACAGGGCCACCTCCCACCACCCACCGAAGTGGGCCACCTCCCTGTGCGTTTCTTGGCTTCGCGCCCGGTTGGATTGCCGGGCACTACTGAGCCCCCCCACCACGACAAGGTGAACGCACGTTGGGGGGGATATTGGAGGGAGGCCTGTGCCAAGTAGTGGGACGTTAAAAAAGGGCTGAATACAATACAAGTACATAATTCAAATATACAAATAAATAATTTATCACAAATATGTTAAAAATATAAGCCTTAACTAATAATGTGTAGTAGTGTAAAAAAAGGCAGCTAGAGAAGCTTTCAAAAATAATAATAACTAATATTTAATACATTTAACTTGGATACACGTTAAAGAAACAGCTTAATGAGAATTTTTAATCCATTCCATTACAAGTTATCATTTTCTTTTTATGGTCTCCAACTTAAAATCTACTGAGATAATTGAAGAGTATTTTATTTCACCAGATCACTCAATCTGAGCAGTCCGACGCACATGACATTGGCGGCGGTCAAGCGTACAACACTGGCGCCCACGGTAGCAGTGCCTTCAACAAACATCATAATGGTAACAGCAATTACGGCAGTAACTACGGCCAGGGAAATGAAGGACACGAGAGAATTATAGATTAATCTTGAATTGCGAAGCTTATATAAAAAATATTTGCAATGATCAATTAAAAATATATATTATAACATTTGTGTTCATATTTGGAATTAGTGACACTCGCTTTGCTCGATATATTTTTGAGCCGAACTCTAATTCTTTTTCTACAACAAAAGTAACCTAAGTTACTCCTTACAACATCAGCTATCCACCAGTGAAAGTCCCGCATAATCAGTCCAGCCGTTTCGAAGATTAACCGAAACAAACAGACAGACAAAAATAAAAAAATGTGTTTTTCTCATAAATACCTTACATAATTTCATAAGCTTTAGTAAAATGCCGTTATTTTGACATTACAAACAGACACTTCAATTTTATTTATCTGTATAGATATTCAGAGGAAGTTTTCTGGACTTTCGAAAATATGTGTCACGTTCATGCTCATCACACAAATAAATGCACCCAACGGGATTCGAACCCGCGACCGCTTGCACAGCAAGAAGGGTCACTACGAACTGAGCCAAACGTGTCGGGCTAAACTACGTCAGTACTTGACACGCTATGTGCATTACACACCATTTCTCTATATGGGAAGTGACATCACCATGTCGAAAGTATTCATGCAAGCTACACTATTATTTGGCCACACAAACATACATTTATATAAACCTTGCCTAGTAAGAAAAATAGGTATGTAAGTTGACTGAAGCCGTACATCTATTATATATACCTATAACGCAAAGTCGGGTTAGTTACAACACTTATAACTCGAAAACTGCTGGACTGATTTTTAGGACCTTTGTTCTTATGGTTTTTATGGATTTGTCTTCACCCCGAATAGCAGAATAACTATTAAAAATCGGAAAAAATCACGAAAAAAAATCAAAAAATAAACTATTCCATATTAGTATGGAATAGTTTTTTTTTCGAAGCGTCGAAATATACTTAGAGATAACTATGACTTCTCTAGAAAAGCACAAACAGATCTATCTCACGGGAACCGTTCATTTTTGCGGCATAAAAAGTAACCTGTTGTTTGACCGGCAGTATGAGGTATCAGCATGCCAAATTTTACAAAATTAGGTGCATAAGTAGTTGTGTACAGCTAAGCTGTATAAGTTACTATAGTTTTTCAACTATTCCACGGGAACACTTTTAATTTTCCAGGATGAAAAGTATCTAAATTGTTGACCGTCGACCGATATAAGGTACCACCATGCAAAATTTTATTTAAATCGGTCCAACAGTTTCGGACATTAGCCCGTACAAACAGACAAACAGAGGAACAAAAACTTTCAAAAAAAAACTGGATTTGTTCTTTTTCTCTTCTTACATCCCCCTAACTCGGTTATTTGCATTTATTTTCTATGTACAGACTACAGACATTCGACTTCTACAGTTTTATTATACGTATAGATAATACTTGTTGTAAGCGGATTTTTTACTCCTGACACATATACACTTATTTATTAAAAGAAACATATTTTAAGATAGATCTGATAATGATGAAATGTTGGAAAGATTTCAATACTGAGTCTAAAGTTTCGAAAAATATACGGAATAGGGAACTTCTAGGATAACTGATATCGAATTGATGCTATATGGACGAGTCTTATGATGTACAGCAATAGTCATATCTCTACTGTTCTCATCGATCAAAAAAGTACTAGATACACAATGAACGACAAAAAATGTCCTTACAAAATGAGCGCTTATTTGAACATTTGAGCGCGCTATTAATTTAAAAAAAACTTCGTGAATGGTTAACCATTTCATTTAAGGTTCAATTTACATTATTGTATACATATTTCTTTCAACTAGAGTAATTACCTAAGCACAATTGGTGACAGTTTCAAGGGAACTTTAGCATGGGATTGTGTATCTAGTACTTTTTTGATCGATGACATTTATACACATACAAACCGTATTATGTTAATAGTCTCAAAATATTTAATATATATTTATATAATATTTAATATCTATATATTAAAAGACTTATGTAAAAAAATTGCATGTTTATGTTATCATGTAAAATGTTAGTATTTAGTATATAAAGTTAGTCGAGTCAGATTGCGTAATGCGACTGAGTAACGGTCACCCAAGGATAACCACGTTTTCTGAATTCCAAATGAAACTGCAGACAATATTACTGCATTTTACATTTAAATGTACTCACGGAGCCAGCAAAAACTCTACCTTTAAATATTAGATACTCGCCAGTAATTTTGTTCTAGAGGGAATTTTACTAAACCTACATTTACTATGAATATTTGTTACTGAAAATTTTAATCGACTTAAGTAGATTGATATTACCATAAGAAAATTTAATTAAATAAATATTAAATATGATGGGACATTAGCACACAGCACCATCTAGTTCCATGGTAAGCTACGAGGCTTGTGTTATGGATACCAGATAGTTGATACACTCGGCGTGGGTGGCGCTATTGAGCCACCGACCCCTTAGATGTTATCGTTGTCACGAGGTTGGCCACGTAGCTGCCAGCTGTAAGGGCACGATAGATAGGAGTGGACAATGCTTCCGGTGCTGAGAAGAGGGGCATACAATAAGCCAGTGCGAGAAAGTTCCTCGCTGCCCGGTTTGCGAAGCGGCTCATCTTCCTGCGGATCACTCGGTGGGGAGTGCAGCCTGTTCCAAGTCCAATGCGGGGAAAAAGAAGAAGGCTGGGAATAAGAGTTTCCCACGTAGAGAGCCAGAGGGCGGTCGACTTGGGGAAGTCGGCCGTCCAGAGAATCTGGCAGAGTAGCGTCCGCTAGTAAATTCCCGCACGCTACTCGGGCTGGCCGTCGGGGGGTGTCCCTTCACCCCTGGCATCTGAGACGGGCCAAGCGGCACTCGCCGTCGGGGCGCGGACGAATTTGGATACCCGTGCCCCGGCAGATAGGCGAGCGAAGAGGAACACCGTGTGGTTTTAGTGGGTAGGCTGCTGTGCTTCTCGCGGCAGGAGCCCCACATAACCCGTCCGCTTCCCCTTAAGCGGCGGGTACCCGGGAACAGGGTTTCCACACGTTAAAAAAAAAAAAAAAAGAAAAAGATAGTTGATACACTACAAGTCGTAGCGGTTCGGAAAGACCGCCGGCGATAGCTGGTTCCACTGAGTGGTTGTGCGGGGCAGAAAATGCCTTAAAAATCGCACTGTTGTGGAACGCTGGACATCGAGGTGGTGTGGATGGAATTTAATATTTTGGCGCGATATCCGATGATGAAATTCAGCAGCCGGGACCAGTCCGAACAATTCCTCGAAACAGTCCCCGTGATAAATGCGGTAGAAGATATATATATATATATATATATAACTTTAAATACATACATATTATAGAGTACAAATATTCGTGCTATCACACACGAACTCGACTCGAACCCGCGACCGCTGGCACAGCAAGTAGGGTCACTACAAACTAAGGCAACCGTGTCGTCTTTTATTTTTTTCTTCTCTGTTTGTAAATAAGGAAATAGCTACTATATATATAATATTCTACAGGTTCTGGCACATCTTTGATAAGAAACAAAGTATTACTGAAATAATTACTTTGGCTTGTGCTCGGCTACGGACAAAAACCATAATATAATAAAATAATTTTCTATAAAAATATTCCACCAAAAAGATTAAATCCAACCCGAATAAATGAAAATTTTTAAAATTATGTAAAATATGTCAAGTTCTCGAGAATTCAATTGAAATAAAAGTTCGGAGCTCGATGAAATTCGGAGAAATAAATTCATGAATATTTTTTTAAATCATTTTAATTTTCATAGTTTTAATTTTTTTACGCGGTACCCTAATACTTTTTTAAAATAAAAGTAGCCTAAGTTACTCCTTATAACATCAGCTATACGTCAGTGAAAGTCGTGTCAAAATCGGTCCATCCATTTCGTAGATTAGCGAACGAACAGACAGACTGACAAAAATGTTAAAAATTGTATTTTTCTTATAGTTACCGTATATAACTTCATATGCATTTAGTAAAAAAGGTGTTATTTTGACATTACATACAGCACTTCAACTTTATTTATCTGTATATATGGTATTTATTACTTAGAATATTAATAGTATAATCTTTTCATTAAATAAAATTTAGAATTACCCTTGGAAGTTGTGCTTGGAGATAAAGGCCAAATATATTATTATACTGTTCGTATAATTTACGCTTCTCTGTTCTAAGGACATCATTTAATAATGACAATATGAATTCCACTGAGATTATTTATGAATAAAGTTACAGTTTAAAATAAAACATAGCAAAATTTTATTTAAGTATATCGGTAAAGTGGATATAGACATAGCTTCAGCTCCCAGGTTTACGCGCTTACAAATGAAGCAACGATCATGATTAAATTGTGATTAAGAACAAAGCAACCACGAGAAAAGCCTGGCTATAACCAGTAGAGATATATGTATGTACGTATTTATTTCATATTAAATTCAAAATATTCCAATCAGCATTAAATTATTATATTTTTTTACTGAACGTCATGAGTCTATTACCAGTTCGGAAACAAGAAGCCTCAGACCTGAAAAGAACCGACTAAAAAAACTCAGCGGGACTAAAATAATTACTTTATCTTTTTTGTAAGCTAAATGATAATTTACAATCTATACTAATATTATAAAGAGGTAAAGTTTATGAGTTTGTGAATTGTGAGTTTGTGACGTTGTAGGAGGTAATCTCTGGATCTACTAAACTGATTTAGATGAAATTTGGTAAGATAGTTTAAGACCTTGGGAAGGACATAGGATACTTTTTATCCCGAAAATCATCCCTTAAGGGGGTGAAAATGGGAATGAAAGTTTATGTTGGGAAGCAAGCCAGGGACGAACCCGAGCGGAGCGAGGGTGAGTCGCTAATCTATACATATAATAAAATTGGAAGTAAGTCGAATCTGTACATTAAATATTTTTTGGAAAATCCTATTGAAATAAACATTATTATCGATATAGAGGCCGAATGTATAGTTTTTAGAATTTTTGTCTGTCTGTCTGTCTGTTACCGCATCACACGA